CTAGGAGGGTTTGCTGAGTCCCTGCGGGGGGGGGAGCATTGTGCTACAGACCCTGCCCTTGTCTCCTCCTGATCCTCTTACCTCCTCCTAAAATGACAAACATGCAGTACAGCTCTTTTGGTCCCCAAACACCGAGGAGCCGGGCTGGCCTGACAAGATGGGAGAAAAAGCTTTTTGCTTCTGGTAGGTTCTCAGGAACGGTGAAACTGCTGGTAAGCCACCCCAATTTGGAGATGCTCCCCAGGTTTCCCAAAAAGCCGCCATGCTGCAGTTGATGGGGAGCGTGCCGGGGTGGGGGCACGTGCGTGCCCGGGGACAGGGCCAGCCCTGCAACACCCAGCCCTCGGAGACCTGTAGTTTGTCGAGACTTCTGTCTGCCTTCCTGCAAACCTCCCCGGCAGGGGCTGGGTGCCAGGAGGGGAGCAGGGCGATGGCACTCGCGTCGGGAGCACGCAGAAACCCCCCCACATCCCCTCCTGACCGCTCTGAACGTGGGAGACCGCGATTATTCTCTGACCAAGCTTTATTCTCAGCTGAAGGACTGCTGGGATTTATCGATGGCTTGCAAACACACACTCGGCAGATTCCAGCTCAGACCCCAGCATAATTCCAGGCAGCTGAAACAAAAGGTTGCAGCTATATTTTCCTTTAGGAGAAAGCCACCAGCACAAAATTATCATTAAAAAATCAAGAGATCGTTCCACCTCTCCCTTTGAGAGCATAAAAGAGCGGCTGCAGGTAACGTTTAATCTTGCCTCCCTGTATAATCACAAAGCAGCAAACTGGGTTTTCTAGAGAAAGGTCTTGCAGCACCTTTCAGGAAGGCTGCGATGGAGCTCATCAACGCTGCAATTTCCTTAACGTAGCAGTCCTGCAAAAAAATGATGTCTTACAAAAAAAAAAAAAAAAAGCCTGCTTTAGATGGACACATTTGCCAGCAAAACAACGGGGCAGAGCTGCCGAATGCCCCCGGCTGCCGGCAGGTAGGCCTGCCTCGTATTATGGTGGCAGTTTAGATGGAAGTAGCCACAAAACCTGAGAGAGGATGATACAGCCACTTAAAGCACAGCAGCTGTTTCTCCTAGTTCGGCCTTAAAGCTTTATTAGTCAGCAATTTTTTTTTTTTTTTTTGATCGCTCCAATTGGGTTTTCTTGGGTTTCATTTAATCCTAGTTTCCCCTCAACATCTCGTTAAGCCGTGTTGACGGCACAGAATAGCTTTGGTGATCCCTCTGAGCCCCTACGCTAAGCATTAAGCCATAAACTAGGAATGTAAGACTCTTGTCTTTTGCCTGGTATTATTAAGCGTGGGGCTGCGTTTGGAGGGGCTGCAGGGCTTGCAAAGACCCTAGCCCCTCGCTGGAAGCATTTGCAGCGCTAGAGCTGCACCCATCTTGCCCTGGACCCCTCCTCCCGCTCTCCTCCCCTCTGGCCCGGGTTGCTTCGATGCAAATCCTACAGGTTCCAGTGGTGCAGTCAGAACTGCGAATCCCATGTGCAACTTGGGTCGTCTCCCAACGGCTTGGCCCACCCCATCCTCCAACCCCCCCCCGGGCAAGAGCCGGGCGTCCCCCCACCAGCGCAGCCAGCTCCCCTCCCCAAAAAGCCTGGCCGAGGAGGGGGAGGACCCGGCGCCCAGAGACCCACTGAACATATGGGGCTACCTGTGGCAAAGGGCTGGGCTGATGCCGTGCTGGGCTGGTTCCTTATCTCCTGCGGGGTATGAGCATCCCTCGCTCCAAGCTAGCAGGTTGCAAACTCACAGGCTCCAGCCCAAAACCGGGGTCCCCGGTCGGAGGCTTGTACCCCTACACCACCGCCCGCCCCGGCAGGGAAGGTATCAATGCAGCACCTACCTCCATCCGAGTAGGTCTCTGTCCCGTAGCCATCCTGTAATCCATTGCTCCAGGTGCCTTCGTACTTGGCCCCATTTCCAGTGCATTCTCGGACCCCGTACCGTCCCTTAAATCCATGGGTCCACTCTCCTTTGTACACCCACTTCCCCTTGCTCTCCATGCCAATGCCATGGCGCTTGCCCTGCGCCCAGGTGCCCTGGTAAGTGTTGCCGCTGGGCCAAGTGTAGACCCCCAGCACCTCAAAGCCGTGACTCCAGGAGCCCGAATATTCACCTTGACCCTTCGGGCCGGTACAGATTCCGTGGCCATGAGCCTTTCCGTCCTCCCAGCCTCCACAGTACGACCCTCCATCGTCAAAATTAAACCTTCCCCCACTGGACATGCATGTAATTCGGTTTGCAAATCCCCCAAAAGGTGAAAAAAAAAAAAAAAAAAAAAAAAAAGAAATGCAGAAAATAAAATGCGAACGATGACTTGGGGAAAAAATCAAAAATAAAAAAAATCAAATCAAATCAAACTCAATCGAAATCATGCACCAGATCCAGCGAGCTGCTTAAGCCAGTTTCTTGTGATTATTCATTCTCTGGGAGTATGTTCAGGATCAGTTCTCTCTTCCCCTGCTGTGGAAACAGTATCATTAAAAAAAAAAAAAAAAAAATAGAAAAATAAAGCAGCAAGAAAAGCAGCAGCTATTGGGTTTTGGTGCAAACGACTCCACCTAAAAACCATCCAAGGCAGGGAACGGGGGTGGGGGGAAAAGAGAAGGGGAAAAAAAAAAAAAAAAAAGAGGCAAAGGGAAGGGAAAGGAAAAAG